AACAGCTCGTTATGCAGTGTAAACACTCACCTTGGAGTTGGTGAGTATAGTTTTGTTAGGATTGTCTTTTGTTTCTGATATCATATTCAGATTCATCAAGCTTTATATTTGTTCTAATGATGATTCTACTTTTCATTCAGAGCAAAGCAGAAGAGATGATCTGGAATCCCTTGTTACGTGCTTATGTATTTTCTCGGGGAAGGTTTAACACATAACTGAATCACTTTCACCTTGTGTATTTATGTGACTTAGCCATATTAACTTTGTTTTTATTTCTCAGCCTTCCATGGCAGGACTAAAAGCAGGTACCAAAAACAGAAATATGATAGATTACGAGAAAAAGATGCTTACTCCCTCATTGAGGTATACCAAGAACATCAGTTTGATGAAATATATGTGCACGGTCTCTTAATTAGCAGTCAAATGTTGTTGTTTGTGGTTTGTCCTGCTGTTAAATCTTAATACTCTCATATATACAGTGATATGTTACCATCCAGGTTCTTTGCAAATCCTATCCATCAGAGTTCACATCGTACTTCCATTATTGCCGGTCTGCGGTTTGAAGACAAACCTGATTACTCATACTTGAAGAGGCTTTTCCGGGTTGTTTATTCGAGAAGGTTAATTTTTAAGTCTAACAGTTCAAAATTATTTCTTGGTTTGTTGTTTTCATTATGAGTTCTTGACCACACTGCAAATTTCTTTCAGGAGAGCTCTTCCAAAACTAAAAATTAAAGTTCTACAACTATAACTTGTGCAGTTATCAGTTTGATTACGTGTTTGATTGGACCATTTTGAAGATCCACAGACTGGTTCCAGTTCAAGACACGAGTCAGTATTTCTTTCTTCTCGTTAATATTTATTATTATAATGGGAAACAGAAAAGAAAGAAGATTATATCTTTTTTCCTATTTCTTGGTACATGATGATTCTCTAATCTCTCTTGCCTATTGTTTTTCCATTCAACAGCCAAGTGGGAAACAAGCTTTGAATGCTGCAGGACCATCAGCTGAAAGATTAGAGAGGCCTTCAGGTCAGTTCCGTTTAAGTTTGGTTCAGTTTGGAAACAAGTTTCGAGAATGAGCTGATAGATGCTTATAATTCTCCTAAGACTTGAGTAAGGCTTGGGCTCAATATGTGTCTGTTGCTTTGCTCGATATGGGATTTTTTCTTTCAGGTGCTAATTTGTTTGATCACTTTGTACGCAGTGAGGGATCTATAGATTTAATTTGTTTTTTTAATCTCATAGTAATTTCTCTATTCTTTTTTTTTTTTTTTTTTTTTTTTAATTTGAATTGGATAATGAATAAACTTACAATGTTTAATATCTATCTAGTAGGACAAGAGGTTCGAGATAGACTGTCTGGTGCAGTTGAGCCTTTGTTAGACGGAATGCCTCTGGGCATGTTTGCATGGTGACACTCCAGGCACAGATCTTCTGAAGATGTGCCATCCGCGAAAGATGTGGTAGGAATTTGCTATGAATATTCTGTGTGCTTTAATTTGTGCTTTTTTCTCCTTCCTTTGGAGGAGAGATGGTTTTAAGGTTTACTTGAGACACTTTTTAATGCTCTTTATTAGTAGAAGTTACACTTTGTACTAAACTATGATTTCTCAGCAAGCTGATTCCGAAAGGGCTCCTCCTATCTCGAAATGGAAGTTCTTCAAAGAGGGTTGTCTTAGGAAACAGCCGACCAAGCTCCTCTGTGAACCCAGTGAGAATCGGTCAAGCCGACTGTTTCAAGCAGTGGTCGGCTGTCTACAACTCAAAGGTACAGCCTGGGTTTGATCCAAATCATCATCTTTTGCTCGTACTGCAAACACAGAAGTGGTCGTGATGATGCACTTCGGAGCTTCGAGCTCCTGACAATTGGCACGGGAAAGAGGAAATAAAGAACATACCCCATCTGGTAAGAAGAAATTGTGTGTGGGTGAAATTTTCTTTATGGCTCCTATCAAGATCCCCAGTACTGTAAATTTTTTTACAGTACTCTGTATATGTGTATCCATTACTGGACTCTATCCATCGGTACCTGCTATTTTCACTGAATTTGGACGAGCTTTGTTTTCTCAGCCACTGTGGTTTGGGGTTGTTTTTGCTTCGAGGCAATTATGATAGCTTGGTGACAACATTCTTTGGAGTTTTTGCCAAGACCCTTTTGACTATCACAATTTTGCTCTTAGAAGTTAGTCATGACAACATTAATCTTATCATGGGACCTTTCTTGCTACTCTCTTCGACCATCTTGCTCTTGACAAGCTCACAGTCTATCCACATAATCTTTTAAATGACCCTTTTTGATAAGGTCTTCCACTACATCCTTCAGAGCTCGACAATTGTTGGTATCATTGCAATGTCCTTGTGATATCTACAGTACTTATTGGGGTCATCTTCGAGGACTGGTGTCTATCCCTGTCACGTCGATCTTGGTTGTCCCTTCTTTTTTTCCTTTCCTTTGTCTTCATCTCGAGCAGGGGCTTTACTCGAATTCCTGGCATTGCCCTGCTTGAGGGCGGCTAGCGAGTTCTCAACTCGCAAGTGCTTCTCTGCCATTTTGTAGAAGCAAGGTAGAGACACATTGTCCTTGGCTTGCAATTCCTTCCATAGATTGGTTTGTGGACAAACTTTGATAATGAGGAGCGTTCATATCAACTTTTGTAGGCGTTGGCTATCTTACTCTTTTCCCGGTTGAACCTCTCCAGGTAGGATCTTAACGTGTTGTCTTTCTCTTATCGGATGTCGCTGAGGTAGTTCAATGGCATGGAAAACCACTTGCTCGCTTGGAATTTCTAAAGGAATAGTGTGGCGAGTTGCTTCCAAGGCTTTATCGAGCCTGTTAGGAGACCTCTATACTATCTTTTTGCTCTCTTAGTCAACATGACTACTAAACAACGACACTTGGTGAGACTTGAGACCTGATGTAGCTCTATTAGATCATTGAATGCATCTAGGTGATCTTGGGGATCACCTCTCCCATCGAAGGCTAGCATGCTCGACATTTTGAAATTTGGAGGGAAGGGTGCTCAGAGCACACTTCTGAAAGAAGGGATCCTCCATATCCCTCACATTGCTCGTCCTAATGAGCTTGGAGGCCGTCAAGAATTTGCTACAGCTGATTAGTTGCTGAGACTCCATTTTATGCTCTTATGGTAGACTCATTATGAGCTCGCAAGGCATTTAATCAAGTACAGAGATTTTCATTTGGTGCAGGTTGACCTCGTTTCCTAATTCTATCAATACACTCGTACGATTGTAGTTGCGCGAGGTTGTTGTGTTGTGGTAGCTCAGGTTGTACGTAGAGTCTGTCGAGAATTGAGAGTTAACCCTTTCCTAGTGCAAGATGCATTGGTTATGGGCGTCTTTCTAGGAGTTAACCCTTTTCTTAGCGCAAGGTGCGTTAGTTATAGGTGTCTCCCCGTCAATCTTCTTTTGGCACCTTGGAGATTTTGCTCCCTTATTTGCCTCGGGTTTTGCTCGCTAGTCGAGCCAGAACTCTTAGTTGGTGTTATAGTGCAAGGAGAACAATGCAGGTCATCTCTCGTTCCTTGAGTTATGTTTTGTTGATTTGGAGCCTGTTGCCCTAGTACTATCCCTTGGAAGGTGGCCATCTACTGTTGTAGAGTTTGGACCGCTGTGGCTAATGCTTCAATTATATCCATCATCTGTGGATTGGTTGGTGGTGCAGTTGAAGTCCCTGCCATATTTGGATTTGGAGGAACTGCCGGGTTTGTCAGCGGTGGAGTTTGCACCTCCTTATTGATGGCTCCTAGATTGTTGGCGTCGACGTTGTCAGTGCGATTGATTTTGGTCTTACTCTTCGATCAGGTTATGAGAGCCATGATTGATATTGAACAGATTTGGAAAATTGAACAAGATCTGCTGAAAGCTTTGAAGAACTCTACGGGGGCCCTCTTTCTTGCGCCAAAATATTGATACAAAAAATTACACCAACTAGAGGTAAGTGATTGAAAATGACAGAACCATGTAGGATGTGTGTGTAATCCTGATGGATCAACAATGAAGGCAATGCGATGATGAATGTGTAGTAATAATCATGAAATAACAAAAAAAAAAAAAAAAAAAAATTTAAAGTGGTTTGGTTGCTTATAATTCAAAACCTACGTCCATTGTTATGATATAAAGTGTATTGACGAGCTGAGTTAGAAAGAGTTATTCTGAGATACAAAGAGTCATCTCAACGAGTTTTCCCTCTTGAGTTCTCTCTCTTCTTAGTCTCTATCTTAGACCCTCTCTTTCTCCTCCCTCAAAACAAATTATAATTGGGTTTCTATAGTACCCATTACAAGATTGAATTGAAAATAAACTTAAACATGAAATAACGAGATCTTTGGCTTTGATCGTGGAGTCCATATCCCAAGATATCTCCAGGTCAAAAGCGAATTTATTGCACCACAGTTGGTTTTAAATTTTTTTATGATCATATGGTTTTTTAATCAAAAGATATTTGAAATAGGAAGGGTTAAAATATAACGTTTCTTTAAAATTAGTACTATTATTAAGATTTTGGATTAAATTCACAAACCACTATTATATGATAAAATTATGAAAGGCAGCTTATAGCCTCGTAGAGAATACTAATTTGTGTTTAACAAATCAAATTTGACTATCCACCTAGAACTTGAGCAAACTTTTGGGTCATTGTAAAATAAGTATGATTAGCAATATAAATATATATTATCAACATAAACCTCATATTTTACAATAATTTAAATTTAATGATACTATATTAAAAAAAAAAAAAATCCTTAAAATATTCTTTCACCGTTCATAATGATGGCTCATTATCGCCAAATCAAAGTAAAATAAAATATGTCCAACCGTCCAGAATATTTTTAAATTTTTAGATAATAAAAAATTAAAATTTATTGATATTATTAAAAAATAGTAAAAAATACGGCTTTATCGATCATAATGCATGAATATATTTTAAATAACTAAAAAATAATAACAAAAATCCATTAATATCATCCGTTTTTTGATTCATCAATCTATCATGTCTATCATCCATTTCCCTTCATTTTCTCTTCAATTCCTCTTTCTCTCTCTCCTAATATTCCTTTTCCTGACTTTCTCTAATATTTTCTCGAGAAAATTCTAACTTTAACTTTAACTCTAGCTCCAACTCAATCCTTTGTCCCGAACCCAGATCCGATTCTACTTCCCAAATTCTTGCCACGAATTTCCTTTGCTTTAGATTCTTCTCTGTCTATTTTTTATTTGTTCCTTCAACAAAAACAAAAAATAATAAAAATTCCTTCTTTATCCATTTATCCCCTTCCAAATCCCATCCTTTTTCCCTCTGGAAACTTTCTCAGAATATGCATTTTAGTGATCCATATCTTTACTGACAAATGGGTATTGCTTTTGTTTTTTAAGCAACCTCATGGTTCGTCTTGTACAGTTGTAAAATAGATTATAAAGGGTTTTCTTTATTTTGTATTGTTTGTGTGTTTTATGAATAATTTTGGTGGATCTGAGACCAGGGAGTTTTGTGTTGGTGTTTTATTTGGTAAATGAATTTGATTGTGATATAAACAAGTCAAAAAAAGAAGGGTGAAATTTCGTTAAATCATATTGTTTGATCCGGGTTAATATAGATCCATGGAACAAGTAATTGGTGGCAAGTTTAAGCTGGGTCGGAAGATCGGGAGTGGTTCGTTTGGGGAGCTTTATTTAGGTGTGTATGATTTTTGTTAGTAGCATTGTTCTGTTAGAGTTTTAAGCTTGTAGGGTTGTTTGTGTTTTGTTGCTTGAGTACGTTTTAATGGTGGTCTGGATTGATTTGTTGTAGGTGTGAATGTGCAAAGCGGTGAGGAAGTTGCTGTTAAGCTGGTATGTTGTAGACTTTTATGCTATTGTAATCTTCTTAATTTTTTGGATAGTTTGATTTTTTTTTTCTTTTTTTGGGATGGTGAGTGATCATTTATTTGATGGTAAAATTGTTGATTTTTTATATTTCTTTTCTTAGTTTAATTCATTGAGTGACTATTTGGCTGTGTTGTGAAGATTAATTATTGTTTATGAGTGGATGAAAAGATGGCTATTGAATAATTTAACTTTGAGAGTTATTCCCTTTTGGGTGTGCTAAGTTAGATACTTCTTGATTTTCACATGGATGATCTTCTATAATAGATATCATACTACTGGAGTTAGCACTTAACTGAGCAGGTTATATAATGAAGTTTATTATATGGGGATGTACTTGATAGTTTCTTCAGTGGTTTGTATAATAAAGATCTGAAAAGAGAAAATGATTATTATTTTTGCAATGAAGTAGACTTTAAGTGTTTTGCCTATCTTCATTTGTCTTCCTTTTTCTTTGTCCAGGAGTCTGTGAAGACCAAGCATCCTCAGCTTCACTATGAATCCAAATTATACATGCTGCTTCAAGGAGGAAGTAAGTTTCTTGTATAGCTATTTTTCCGGAGTAAAATTTATACAGTGGGTCATTTCTATTTCTGTGGATTGAACTCAATATACTTATTTGACTGTTTTGTTATTTATTTGATATTTTTGTTGCTGTGAAGCGGGTATACCCCATCTCAAATGGTTTGGAGTTGAGGGCGAATATAATGTCATGGTTATTGACCTTCTTGGACCTAGCCTGGAAGACTTGTTTAATTATTGTAATCGGAAGTTCACTTTGAAAACAGTCTTAATGCTTGCAGATCAGTTGGTAAGTCTGCCAATGCTCTCAAGAAACTTTTTTGTGGTTCATGTAGTTGCCATACTTATGTTTTGTTTTTATTTTGTTGTGTTTGATAGATAAACAGAGTTGAGTATATGCACTCCCGTGGTTTTCTTCACCGTGATATAAAGCCTGACAACTTTTTAATGGGTTTAGGGCGCAAATCAAATCAGGCATGTTAAATGATTTATTACTTTCATATTTAGTTGCTTGTGCATATCTAAACATTGGAATTTTTTCTTGGAACAAGATTGATAATTCTGTTGAGAGTTTCGATGTGACTCCTACTAGAAATGTTTAGTTTTGAGATGTAAATATCTGTAAAACTCTTTTGGCTGGAATATTTGGTTGCTGTAGTAATAATTTGTGGAACAATGCTGAAAGAAAAAACAAGAGCCATTAGTTTATTGTGGATTATTTGAATCATTCAAGGTGGGGGTTTGGCTTTAACCTTCAAGCATGATTATACCATATTTGTGTGCCTGACTACCTGTCTCACATACTGTATGTCACCTTATGTGGCATATGACTCAAATATTAGATTATTATATGTATTAGTTGGGTGGTTCTGCACTCTTAGTACACTACAACCACGAGTATCTGTTTCCTGTAGAAAGACATCCATTCAGCAGACTAAGTATAGATATTTGTAGACGTGGGATTTTATGGAATTTCAACAATTTTAAAAAATTTGAATTTTTTTACTATGGTAAGATTTTTGTTTATGAAAATTTTGGCTGTCAATTTTGTCACCAATTGTGCTTGTTATTAATGCAAGGAAGATATTTATGGGAAAAAGATCAGACATGAAAAAGATAAGATGAAATCTGGCATAGAAGTTCTATGACTTTCAGTTTATTCAAGAAGCATGACCTGTTGTAGGGTTTAGGGTTAATGTGAGGTTTGGAGTACAAGTTGTAGCAGTGTTACATGTGGAAACTAGTTAGTACTACAGAAAATTTTTAGTCAAAGAGATGTCATTTGAAATTTGGAGACTTTCTAAGAAATTTAAGATCAAGAAAGAGATGCAGTTTGAGATAGAATTCGATTGGAATAAAAGATATGCAAAAGCGAGAACAAGCATCTACAGTATGACAGGAGGATTTCAATTATAAGAGGGAGACTTTTTAGGAACTTTAAGATCAAGAAAGTGGCGAAGTGTGAGATAGAAGTCACTTGGGATAAGACTTACAAAAGGGTGAAGAATCAGGCGCTGAATACATAAATTAGTTGAATAGTGAAAGAATCACAAGGTTAAAAAAAAAAAGAGACTTGGACATCCTAAAAGAGTCTAGAATTCAACACTCATGGTGCCTTCGATGAATACTTTGTGAAATTAATTTGTCAAATGTGTTCGATGATGTATCTAAGAATTAACAAATTTCTGTTTGTTTTTTATGCTTGATAACAGGTTTACATCATTGATTATGGCCTTGCAAAGAAGTATAGGGATCTTCAAACACACAAGCATATACCATACAGGTACTACTTTTCCTTTTTCCCTTTTTCCCTTTTTTGTTTGTGTAATTTAAGGTTATGTTTTTTGTAACTTGTGCCACAATTGGCTTACTTTGTGTTGCAATAGAACTTAATGTAATCTACTGTTGCACAAATGTGGCCTTCTAAAATGTGAATGCTAGTGGTGCTTTATAATATGAAATGTTCAGTTACAATTTGCATCATGTTACATTTGGTTTTTGCTTTTCACATGGAAGTATGCTCCTTGGTTGTGAATCAATGTGTGCATGATGAAATTTAGAAAGAAATGTCAATACACTTGGAGAAATAGCTGTTTGAAATACAGTCTTATATTTTAACTTGGGATTTACAATTGCTTACAAGTTCTTAAATGTAAATGTATCCCAAGATGCATTGATTTTGACCTGTCTATATTTTAATAAGTTACATCTAGTTTTCTGTAAGCCATCTTCAGTTATTAGTGGTTTTGGCTCAAGTTATGTTCTGTCTTTATATATTTAGGGTTTAAATCTTGCTTGGTCATTTTACATGTATTTTGGCCCCAAAGTTGTATTACTTGGTCTCTTGGCCTATTTTTTGTGGTTTCTCCATCTATGTTTTCTGGCATTTTGAATTTCGGGATATTCCAATTGTAATGATGAATGTAGAACCTTGTTCTCTTTGAAGCCTTTCATTGTCTATAATGAATATTCATTCTGTTTTTCACAGGGAAAATAAGAATCTTACAGGAACAGCTCGTTATGCAAGTGTAAACACTCACCTTGGAGTTGGTGAGTATAGTTATTGTTAGGATTGTCTTTTGTTTCTGATATCATATTCAGATTCATCAAGCTTTATATTTGTTCTAATGATGATTCTACTTTTCATTCAGAGCAAAGCAGAAGAGATGATCTGGAATCCCTTGGTTACGTGCTTATGTATTTTCTACGGGGAAGGTTTAACACATAACTGAATCACTTTCACCTTTTTGTATTTATGTGACTTAGTCATGTTTAACTTTGTTTTTATTTCTCAGCCTTCCATGGCAGGGACTAAAAGCAGGTACCAAAAAGCAGAAATATGATAAAATTAGCGAGAAAAAGATGCTTACTCCCATTGAGGTATACCAAGGACATCAGTTTGATGAAATACATGTGCACGGTCTCTTAGATTAGCAGTCAAATGTTGTGTGTTTGTGGTTTGTCCTGCTGTTAAATCTTAATACTCTCATATATAACAGTGATATGTTACCATCCAGGTTCTTTGCAAATCCTATCCATCAGAGTTCACATCGTACTTCCATTATTGCCGGTCATTGCGGTTTGAAGACAAACCTGATTACTCATACTTGAAGAGGCTTTTCCGGGACTTGTTTATTCGAGAAGGTTAATTTTTAAGTCTAACAGTTCAAAATTATTTCTTGGTTTGTTGTTTTCATTGATGAAGTTCTTTACCACAACGCAAATTTCTTTCAGGAGAGCTCTTCCAAAACTAAAAATTAAAGTTCTACAACTATAACTTGTGCAGGTTATCAGTTTGATTACGTGTTTGATTGGACCATTTTGAAGTATCCACAGACTGGTTCCAGTTCAAGAGCACGAGTCAGTATTTCTTTCTTCGTTAATATTTATTATTATAATGGGAAACAGAAAAGAAAGAAGATTATATCTTTTTTCCTATTTCTTGGTACATGATGATTCTTCTAATCTCTTCTTGCCTATTGTTTTTTCCATTCAACAGCCAAGTGGGAAACAAGCTTTGAATGCTGCAGGACCATCAGCTGAAAGATTAGAGAGGCCTTCAGGTCAGTTCCGTTTAAAGTTTGGTTCAGTTTGGAAACAAGTTTCGAGAATTAGAGCTGATAGATGCTTATAATTCTCCTAAGACTTGAGTAAGGCTTGGGCTCAAGTATGTGGTCTGTTGCTTTGCTCGGATATGGGATTTTTTTCTTTCAGGTGCTAATTTGTTTGATCACTTTGTACAGCTGAGGGATCTATAGATTTAATTTGTTTTCTTAATCTCATAGTAATTTCTCTATTCATTTTTTTTTTTAATTTGTATTGGATAATGAATAAACTTACAATGTTTAATATCTATCTAGTAGGACAAGAGGTTCGAGATAGACTGTCTGGTGCAGTTGAAGCCTTTGTTAGACGGAATGCCTCTGGGCATGGTTTGCATGGTGATCACTCCAGGCACAGATCTTCTGAAGATGTGCCATCATCGAAAGATGTGGTAAGAATTTGCTTATGAATATTTTTGTGTGCTTTAATTTGTGCTTTTTTCTCCTTCCTTTTGGAGGAGAGATGGTTTTAAGGTTTACTTGAGACACTTTTTAATGCTCTTTTATTAGTAGAAGTTTTACACTTTGTATCTAAACTATGATTTCTCAGCAAGCTGATTCCGAAAGGGCTCGCTCCTTATCTCGAAATGGAAGTTCTTCAAAGAGGGTTGTCTTAGGAAACAGCCGACCAAGCTCCTCTGGTGAACCCAGTGAGAATCGGTCAAGCCGACTGGTTTCAAGCAGTGGTCGGCTGTCTACAACTCAAAGGATACAGCCTGGGTTTGAATCCAAATCATCATCTTTTGCTCGTACTGCAAACACAAGAAGTGGTCGTGATGATGCACTTCGGAGCTTCGAGCTCCTGACAATTGGCACGGGAAAGAGGAAATAAAGAACATACTCCCATCTGGTAAGAAGAAATTGTGTTGTGGGTGAAAATTTTCTTTATGGCTCCTATCAAGATCCCCAGTACTGTAAATTTTTTTACAGTACTCTGTATATGTGTATCCATTACTGGACTCTTATCCATCGGCAGCCATAGCTTCACAAATCTTATCCTATGAAAAAAAAAAAAAAAAAAAAAAAAATCAAACCGCACGCGTCTCTGTATCTTTATGAGGGATTCTTGCCAGATTCATGCCATTATTATAAGTGCTGTCAAACTCGTGAGAGGAAGACAAAATGATTTCACTCTAGAGAATTGTTCATAAATTTGAAGCACTAGTAGTTGTAATAAACCAACTTTGTTATATTCTTTTGGGAAGAAAAAACTTTGTTAAAGATATCTACCTGTACTCTTTTATCTGTAACTGTTTACATTGTGTTATGTGAGTCTCTCTGTATTAGAGGTATTTCGTTTTAGATTTTTGTTTAATCATCGCCTACCACTTTTTAAACTTTTTTATGGTGCAGCTCACTTTGAATTTGACAAAAGGTTTTGCTTTTTGTATTTTGTATCATTATTTTGTCACCCACTAAACTTACACTAAGTGCTTAGCATCTGTAACTCCACATCAACTTTTAATCTTCTGTTCCATTTATAATGCAATCATGCTTGCGTAGGTGAAAGAGTTTGTTTTTAATTAAATAACCAAATTATTGTTGTTGAAGATGAAGAGTGGATACACGGAGAATATTGAGGATCTCGAGACGCAATAAGAGCTATTTTATTAATTAGGAGTTATCAGTAATACTAAGTCTTAACTCAATTTTCTAATCTTCTTTTATAACTCTACCATTACATTGAGTTAGTAAATTTTACTTTAACTCTTATTACCCTCAAGACATTAAATGATATTGATTAAATACTGTTTCTTCATAAGAAATTATTGTTCTTTATGAAAGAATGATCCTTCTTTTATAAGGAATGACTTTTCCTTATGAATGAAACAACAATTCCTTATAAATGAACGATTGTTCGTTTGTAAGAAACGATCGTTTATGTTTACTTAAAGTTGTCAGTTGACATAGTAATGTTAACTCTATTATTACTTTAGGGTTATAAGAGAAAGTTGTGAGATTAGTTATAAACGTTATATTTTTGTATTACTTAGGCATGTTTAAAAATTGAACAGACTTTGAAACTTATAACAATACTCATTTTTAACAACCATATGTGACTTGATGGTAAAAGAGCAAAACAAAACCTAAGTTTATATGATTTTCCAAGTTTGAGTCTTCACGATTGTTAATAAGAGTGATCATTAAAGCTTGTACTCGACCGATAGTTTTAAGGTTCTGAGAGAATAATAGAGATGTGTAAAAGACTACAAGCTGGTTTGAACACTCTCGATCAAAAAAAAAAAAATACTCATTTTATACTTGAAATGTTATAAAAATATTATAACTTCAATTTTAAACAATTCCTCCATTCACATTAACAGTTATAAAAAGAGATATTTTGTTGTCATCAGTTAATAGTAAAAAAATGTCACGTTATTCATGGAAGACATCTTTCGTGAAAAGTGTTAGTGAAGCTAGTATTATCATTTTCATTTATACTCCTATCCCATATGCATTTATTTGAAATAATGGAAATCCTCGAACACAATTAAATGTTTAATTAGATGTAATAATTATATTATCTTATTAGATATATACACGTGATAAAATATGTACTTATGTGTTTTTTTTCCTCTTTCTTGCATCAAACTATTACTAAATGGTGTTTGTTTTTGTGAGAAAGCTCAATGCATCTGTTAGTTGAATATAGCTGAATGTTGAAGAATGGTTGATATGTTGTTTATTTTTCATTTTTCATTTTCATTTTATATATTATAAACATCTTAAAACTAATGATTTAACATTGATCATACTTATTATTATTATATAATTATAGTGATAAAACTTTACATAGAAAATAATGTATACAACAATTTTACATGGAAAGTATTGTTTTCAGATCTTTGAATTGCAATATAATTTTGTTTACTGAATACGAAAGGGACAACCACACCTAAATTTAACTACCGAACTGTTGAACACAAACAGTACGTACAAAATAATAAAAAGTCTACAGAGTGAGTCCTATGATTGGGCAGTTTCGGTTAACACTGTGCGTGAATTTTATCGAACACTTAAAACGATTTTGCCTTTGTTTACTCATCACACAACTCCACTCTTTTCTGTTTTCTCCGTTAACACACAGCGAACTTCTTCATTCTCTTCACAATCCCGCTTCTCCCGTTAATTATTATCTAAATTCTCAAACTACCCAATTCCTCTATCTTTCTCGTAGTTCAATTCAAAGGGTGTTTTCCAATTTCGTAGTTGTTGTTGAATTTGAGATCTAGGGTTTTACGTGAAGTTGTGGCTGGATTGAATTGAATTATCATGATGGATGTGGAGGTTGTGGGTGGTGACGTTGCTTCCATGGACCCGGATTTGTTACAGTTACCGGAGCTTTCACCGTCGGCGCTCAAATCCAATCCCTATCTTGCTGAGGAGCTCTTTTCGATTTGGCTTTCGCTTCCTGACACTAATAAATTGGTATTTTTGTTCATTCTATTCATTTCTTTATGTTTTTATCAGTTTTACTCGATTGGCTTGGCCTCTTTTTTATTACTTGTATGTCTTTGATTGTTAGCTTGAATTGTAGTTTTATGTAGGGGAATTTGTTGTTCTGGAATTTATTGTTTTTCTTGTTATGCTTGGTGTTATTTCTCATTTTAATTAAAATGTTATTATTATTGTTTTGATGAGAAACAGAGGAATCTATTATATGTGAACCGCTCTTTTGATAGATGTTAATTTTAAACTTGGTCAAGGTGATGGAATTTCGTGTTTTTTAACTTGTGTACCTTTAATTTACTGGTGATAAGACCTTTGAGAATTGAAATATTTGGGTGTGCTTGTGTACATTGTGTTATGACTGTATTTGGTTTTCCATTTCGAATTATTAGTTTGTTATTTGATGTGATATCAGTTTTATGGATAGTATATGTAGAGATAGATATTGCTTCATGGTTAATTTCATAATTTGAAGGCTGTTATTTAGTGGTTTGTGTGATACATTCTTATATCATATGATTGGACGATGAGATTAATTTGCCATTTTAGATGAGATGCTTTGAATTAATAAAGTTCTAATTGAGTGGGATGAATCCAAAGTACGCTGAATGTTGTTCGGTCTAGCTATAGTTCTGAAATGAGAATGGTCCATATTGATGGGATTTGTCTCAGGAGTAAAATTGAGCCAGAGAATCTGTAGATTTTCCTTATATCAGAGCTGTAGAAGTAAATGGACAAATGGTTTGAGATGTATGGTGATCTCTGAGTAGTTATCAAGTTGAAAGTTAAATCTTATAAGATAGATATGGGATCAGTAAGCCTTTATCATAAACAAGTCAACATAATACAGCAATGACCATTGTCTGATCATACAGGACGTGAATCTAAAGAATAGTATGGTTACTCTAAAGAATTATATGGTTTTGTGGTTGTAGCTCAAGGTATTAATTTCAACTGACTTTTTGTTTGAGTCTACTTTTGATTGCTTTTTCATAAGTGTTTGATTTGAAGGGTGTGAACATTGTTAGTATTATTATTATTAGTTTCTGGTTCATTTTGGACTTGCAATTTCAATATATTATTTTCTTTTAAGCTTTTTTTTTTTTTTTTTTTTTTTTTGCTATGATGACATAGGTGAAGTCTTTGCTGGCTGATGCAAAGGCAGGAGCTCCTTTTAACACGTCTGGGAGTTCTATTAGTGGGAATAGTTCTTCGACCAATTCATTACCTTCCATGTTTGCAGCTGGCAGTACTCCTCCTCTTTCACCACGCGCTACATCTGGTTCTCCTCGTGTTACAAAACTCAGGACTGGCCCTTCTTCCTTAGCTTCTCCCTTGAAAATAGTCAGTGAGCCTGTATGGGAAGTCATACCTCAGGTATGAATTACTGGTGTACTGTTCATACTATTTTTCTGGCTGATGATGCTGTTATTTTATGTGTAGAAATTGACAGAATCTTTTCCTGATGTATGCTGAGTGGATCTATGGTCTCAATGGAACTTTTAATTGATGCAGTTTTACTTTAAAAATGGACGTCCACCTCCAAATGAACTAAAAGACCAGTGTTTGTATGCAATTGATCAGCATTTTTATGGCCACGTGCCTGGATTGAAAGTTCATGGTGAGAATGTATATATATTTTTTTTGGCTTACGTTCAATTTTTCCTTCATAATTTTGCTTATCTTAAATGCCTATTAAACTTTTTATTTCTTATTCTATCTTATATCTTCATGTGTCAGAGTTTAAGTCAGTCACAAAGGAAATTTGCAAGCTACCATCATTTTTCTCTGCTGCTCTGTTTAAAAAGATAAACACTGTTGGCACTGGAATTGTGACAAGGTAGGCTCTTTCTTAACGGATCAGTGTGTTGGCAAAGCTTTTTGAGATCATTGGTAATTTTGCTTTTAAAAGCCACTTCAAAGAAATTTATGTATAAGCAGAACTATGATTTGTGTTTCAATTGATAGAGAGGGCTACTGCAAAATGATGTTTTTAGTAATCATAAATGTTTCTTGTTACTTTGCATTTTTTGATTTGCTTGAGCTGATAAAAGTGATTTGTTGGTTAAGTCTCTCTTTTCCAATTTTTTACACCCAATAAGGAGAACCCTCTTCCACTTAGTGAATTTTGGGTAGCTTGAATTGATGCTCGATAATCCTTTTCATTTTTGGAAAATGAATAACTGCGGTTTTCTATGCTTTAAGTGGATTCATCTTTGTCTTCTTGTTCTGCAATTATTTTTATTTTATTATTCCCTTAGATAGTTTTTCAGTCTGTCTTGGAAAAATATGGGTTTAAGTTTTAATTTTTGTCAAAGCTGTTCGAGGAGTTTGATTGTGGGATTGTTTTTTGTTATCTTCTTATTTGTTTGATTGGAAACAAAATGTGGAAGAAGAGATATAGAAGTGGAGCAGGTTTCCGTAAAAGCAAATAACAAAAGCTGCCCTTGAAGTGACAAAAGCTATACAAATATATGTAGTTGAATCTTTTGGCATTTGACACGAACTAGTGAATATAGGTGAAACAGTTGTCCTCACTTCAAAATGCCATCTAGGAACTAGCTGTCTAACAACCTCTTCCCAATTGACTTGTATATAAAAGAGAGAGAGAGAGGAGTCTTGTAAATACTTAAAGACTGAGGTCCAAAGAGATGCTGGAAATCGGCTCTTGTCCCCTTTGTAGCTGAATTCGTCCTCATTTTTGCCCTTTAAAATACAGTTGTTTCTTTCTTGTCAGATCATTCTCTGTGAAAACCAATACAGTACAATTTCAAAGGGTTTTCAGCTAAAATCATACTTTTTGAGCAGATCACTTTAATTTCCAGGAATGAACCAATTTATTATAGGTCCTTTATCTCTTGGTTTTACTAGTTCACTCCACCTAATTACAGGAGAGTCTCTGTTTTCTGTTTACCTTCCAAGAAAAAGTCTCTTATAATTTTCCTATCGTTTTGGCAATCCCGTTAGGGATCCTGAATAAGGACATAAAGTAGATTGGAATAGCTGCCAATATTGGAAGTATGGGTGACGTGTATTTACAAATTTCTCGTGTATTAGCATGAAGGCTTTTCTGAGTAGGTTTTGGTGAAACTATGCCAAGGGGATTCTAGAAGGATCCCTTTCTTGATTTTATTTTTGGAATGGAGAATGATTTCTAGATCTATTTATTTGTTTCTTTATTCTGACGGAATTTGGTAATTTTGGTCTGCAGAAATTATTGGATGTATTTCAAACTACTTATAGCATTTGATGATGATTAAGGGTTTCACTAGGGGTCCTATCGTAAACTTTTTCTCTTTAATATTCTTGTCTTTTCTGTCCCTGGTACAGTTACTATTCGCTATAGATAGAGATTGGGTGTTGTTGGCCACAATTACCTATGAGGGGTTTCTTTCTTTGCTATTGTAGAATGTGCCTAAAAAGCATGCTGTCTCTATGAATCTCTAGTTGCTTCCTGGTGTCTTGATTGTTGATCTGTATTTGTGTATCTGCCTGTGTGCTCAAACACGAGTTTGTACTTCATTGAGAAGGCCAGTAAGTAGTGAATTTTGTGTGTGTGTGTGTGTGTGTTTTTTTTTTTTTTCCTTTTCTTTTCTTTTCTGCATTATCAGCTCACAACTGATGTATAGACATGGAAACATGTACACTTGATAGGTTAGTTCTGAATTTAATTCTTTCTTTGACAATTTTGGAGCTTTCTTGTTTTGCTATGAAGCGCTTCTTCATTAGTTTTTCTGATGCTTACCTTGTGATTGATCCCCCAAATCCCCCTCCTAAAAAAATAAAAATAAGAAAAAAGAAAGAAAAGAAAAGAAAAAGAAACAGGGACTAATCCACTGGTTAAACATGGTAATTCAAGAAGTATGGCTCATTTGAGGTTGTAGTTATTGTTATATCATCATCTGCGTTCTGAATTTTCCATTTGACATGTTGTAGGGATCAATTTATTGATTATTGGATTAAAGGCAACATGTTGACAATGGATTTAGCAACCCGGATATACACGATTTTGAAACAACCGGATCATAGTTACCTTACTCAGGTCTGTTTTGCAATTTTTTAAACTTTATTTCTTTTTAATTAAAAAACTCTTTATTATAGGTTTAAAAGGATTTTACCTAAGACTTGGGAATGAGATAAGATCTACTTGAACAAAATAATAGAATGAAAATGAGAGAAAAATAAAGTACAGTTCCAGGTGAAAAAGACTTAACATTTGGAAAAAGATTTTATCAAAATAAAGTCAGGCTGGAAGCCAAAAGGTTAGTGTGCTTAGAATACATCCTCTGCATGGAAACTACTTTGTGGAACTTGTGGAAAGAAAAAGAATATTTTGTTGTAGGTATTTTGTATGTTACATATCTTTATACTTTATCTTTACGCAGGATGATTTCAAACCTGTTTTACGGGAACTTTTGGCGTCTCATCCAGGGTTGGAATTTTTGCAAAGTACGCCCGAATTTCAGCTAAGATATGGTATGAGTACAAACAATTGGCGCTAGTCTTTTTTAAGATATGAATTAGGATATGTCAAATCTACGTATTTGTATCTGTGCATCATAGATGGAAATGGGCTGTCTTGTTTTTCTGGGTCCAATGGTTGGTCATCCATCTTTACCTAAGTTTTTCAAACATGGTTCCTAGGGAGTCGGCTATGTGGAACCTCCTGGCCCAAGTCATCTGAAAACTAACTGCTCTTAATACTACATACTGAGAAGTGATTGAATTTCCCCTTTCCTTTGTTGTGTGTCTTAATGAAATGCATTATCAGTAACTCTGCATCTGTATTTGGTTTTCATTTTGGAAAGATTTTTATGTTATCCTTGAGAATAGAACTTGTGTTTTATTGGTGCTATACATTATTCTATTTGAGAGTTGAGATATTGATTATCTCTCCTGTCATTCAGTGTTTTCAATAAATTTCTGCATCTAATTAATATTTATAGCATTTTAGAATAAGGTAGTACATGTTCAGGGTCATTTGGGAATTTTGTTAAGGCACTGTCTATTTATTGTATATGTCATTGATGATTGTAGCATCTAATGAGTATGGTTGTAACCAATTGCTTTCAAAATAAATTATGAATTTTTAACTATTTTAAGATGTCTAATGCCTCTTCAGTGCCAGTGTCTCTACAATTCTTATGTTGTGGTAATAGTTCATGGTTTTGACCTCTAATTGTCTTGACTTAACATTTTTAGCTTTGCAATGTAACAGCGGAAACAGTCATATACCGAATATTTTACTACATTAACAGATCAGGAACTGGCCATCTTACCCTCAGGGAGTTGAAACGTGGAAACTTGATTGCTGCAATGCAGCATGTAGATGAGGAAGAAGACATTAACAAAGTCTTGAGGTAAGTCTGCTAGCGGAAAATATACTCTGTTTGTACCATGCAACTGGTGCACTTTTGGAGTCACTCAAAATATACTTTTGAAGTATGAGATCAGTTTCCAGTTTTGTATGTCTTTGGAGTATTTAGAAAATAAAAGTTACAATTTTGATTTTGCTTTCTCGCATCATCATGAAATAAAAGCTTTTATTTTTATTTTTTTAATTTTCATATAGGTTCAGCAGAATACCAAAACTGTTCTCTGATTTACTTAACCCCAGGCCTCCAGTTGATTTATATTTCTTTGTTAGCATAATCTGATCGAGGAATGCTAATCTGATCGAGGAATGTAATTGGTGGTACATCATAGAGCCTAATAAGATCCTGTTTAATTATTTCCTTTTAAAATCATGTATAAATTAGAACCTCAGGGTCACTACAAACGGGAGAAGAACAAAAGTAAATATTAGAATAGAATCTATTCCTGTTGGCTTCATGGAAGTAACCTTTTCTTCTATTTTTGGGTAGTTCAGGTTCTTCTCTTATGAACACTTCTATGTAATTTACTGCAAATTCTGGGAGATCGACACAGACCATGATTTTTTGATTGACAAAGAGAACCTTATCAGATATGGTAACCATGCTCTTACCTACCGGATTGTTGATAGAATTTTTTCTCAGGTTTGCTTTTGTGTCATTCTTTCTATATCTATTCTTACTCGGGTTATTAAGTTCGGGTTTTAGTTAGAAAATAATATACTATGCATATTTCTTATTTATGCAACTCTTCTTTGATCTCATTAATGCTTCTACTTCATGCCAGGTTCCAAGGAAATTTACTAGTAAAGTTGTGGGGAAGATGGGTTATGAAGATTTCGTTCACTTTATATTGTCGGAAGAGGATAAATCTTCGGAGCCTGGCCTAGAGTACTGGTATATTGTGTTCTCCCTTTTTGACTGCATGAGATGAAATAAAGATACTTCACACACTTGGAAGTATCATTGACCTCTGGTTAATTTGAATTTGTAAATTCAATGTTGAAGAAAACTGATTGACTGTTGATTGTTAATTTATATTTGTTCTAATTAGTATATCTCTATATCTTGGCATGGCAGTATTTTTCAATTCTATACTAATCTTTCTGTGTTTAGATTAATAACTGAAACTGAAACTGAAACTGGGACTTATGGTTGCATAAATTGGTGCAGATTGTACATTTTACAACTTTTCTTGACTTGTTTCTGTTAAGTATTGATCCTTAACTCTTGTGATTTACAAAAACCAAATGGCATAATGTCAAATGTCACTGGGTGGATCCAAAACCTTCTTTTGTGCTGCTGACTGGTTTTCAAGTGAACACACATACATGTATTGGCCCTTAACCTTCATGCTTTAAATTGAGGCTTGAGTCAGTGAGTAAACTTGGAAACTTGGCTTGCCTCATTATTGAAAAAGTTTCAAATCCATAAATACGTTTTTTAATTATTTAATAGTGAGGAGTTAGATTTTGTACCAGAGCCTTATACCAGCTAGTGGACTGTGTAAATGACCTAGTACTGGCCTGTTCTTTTTGTTCATGTAACTATCATGAGAAGTGAATTATTTAATATTTATGAAATCCTTGCCACTTCTTGATCTGCTTCTTTTGTTTGAAGAAATAAAAATAATTTTGTTATTGCTGTAATTGTGGGCTTGAGGGTTGTATTGAATTGCAGGATTTTACCATATTTCTTGTTAGTTAACTTTGCATGTTATGTTAATATGTCATATGACCTTTCAGATTGCTTGTTTCAGGTTTAAATGCATTGATTTGGATGGGAATGGGTTGCTCACACCAAATGAAATGCAGTTCTTTTATGAGGAGCAGTTGCACAGGATGGAATGCATGTCCCAAGAGCCTGTGCTATTTGAAGATATATTATGCCAAATTATTGACATGATTGGGCCAGAGGTCACTCTTGGTTCTTACTGATCACCCATCTTTGGCTTTCAGTTTCTTGTGGAAGTATGAATTTGATTTTTCTTCTTGTTTGTAATTGTTTATGTTTGTTTACAGAATGAGGGCTACATAACTCTACGTGACTTGAAAGGTTGCAGACTTTCTGGAAATGTTTTCAACATTCTTTTCAATCTCAATAAGTTCATTGCTTTCGAAAGTCGTGACCCTTTTCTTATTCGTCAGGTAAGTTTAAGTTTAACATTTCCATCTCAAAATCAGTGTAAGGAACTGCATGGGAGCTGATTCAATTGCTGTATCAGGAGCGTGAAAACCCAACTTTGACAGAATGGGATCGGTTTGCTCATAGAGAGTATATAAGGCTTTCCATGGAAGAAGATGTGGAAGATGCTTCAAATGGAAGTGGAGATATTTGGGATGAATCACTTGAGGCGCCCTTCTAAGTTAATTAGGTATGTATCGTGGAGGTGCTTTTGGCAAATTATAATATTTTGATTAGATTTCTTCTTTGTGAAAAAGTATTAGTTTATTGTTTGGAAAAAATTGGTTTACTGGAATATTAGTACCACCTCTGTCTCTAATTATTCTGGAAGGATATTTTAATCATGAACTATATTTTTTTTTTTTTTTTTGTCTCTTTTGTATTTTGACTGTTTGCTTGTTAACATGCTTATTTTTTTTTTTTTTTTGTCTCTTTTGTATTTTGACTGTTTGCTTGTTAACATGCTTAACTCTTCACTTTTGGGCTTTTGATAAAACAAGCATTCCATCAAAGAATGTTTTGTTGTTTGATGTATTCATGTATAAAATTGATGTGGACAGCTTATTTAGTGTGAAATCATTCTTTCAATATTAATTTTTTCATTCTCTTATCAACGAAGAACTGAATGGTTTGTTGCTTCTTTTAGGAATTTGAACTTTCCAAGGGCTTTCAACTGCATCCTTTATCATGTTATTAATGTTAACAATGTCAATCTTAAGTAGTGATGATGTCAATTGTTGGATTATTTCTTTGAACAACGGAGAGGAGCTTACAGTTCTGCTTTATGGATTTAACTTTCTCCAAAGCAAGTTAAGGACACGCGTCCTAACATTTTAGGATTTTATGAGTAAATGAAAATTAAGAAGTGACTCCCCAAAGGATGCACAAAAGGGTTAACTAAAATAAGCTGAAATAATAAATGTAGTTAACTCATGCTAATAGTTATAATCAGCATTGGTACTTAAAAGTTAAAATTCGTAAATGGTTTTGATAACTACTTTTTGAAGTTTCTAGTATAATCATTGCTGGTGCTTCTGAATTAAATTGAAGTAGATGTTAGTGTGGCTTCAATAGCTTGCTGAATCAGTGTTTATTATAATTACTTTGTGAAGTTGAATCAATTTACATAATCAATTTCAATTTCTTATTGGTTGAAATTTGAATCATATACTTCCTTTTTTTCTTTTAAACACAGAAAATCTTATGATGCGAAAGGGTGGTTTAATTGGTACTGCCAGTCATATTTTTTTCATGGAACAAAATAAATGTGTTGTATTATATTACTCTGGCATGGTGATACTGATTGCGCCTTTATATAATGAGCGCCTATCTTTTTGGAGCAATTCCCTGATTCCATGTTTTTACATTTTCACTTGCATTGAAGTCTGGTTTTGACATGATGGCATTGTGTGACAATTTTATTTAAGTTCTAGTCCATGGTTGTTCATGTGATAGACGATATGGCTTTATTTCTTTAATTTTTGGTGCTACCAAGAAGAATAGATGTCAAAAAATTTCTACAATTGTTAAACCATGCTTGTTTTGCTTTATAGCCAATATAGATTCATATTTTGGACTCTTTGGACATGCTAGCTTTCTTCATCTTTGTTTCTGCATATTATACTGTCCTGTATGAATTCCCACCGAATGAAATATTTGGTTTGTAGTTTTGTTTCCTAGCATGATACGTGTTTGATACAATACCCATGTCTGTTCTGTTTTCCAAAGAAATTTATGGTGTTCATGTTTGTTTCATTCTAACAGCAGGTTCATGAAGAAGGTTGAGGATGCTTCCACGAATCTTTATCATTTATTGAAGAATGGTTTATTGCTCAGATCAGTGACAAACTGAGATGGGCAATGTAGATTTATATTTGTAGTTAGCAGTCGACTGACAGCAGTACAACCCCGGCACTCTGCAGTTGGTTTGTATGAAGCTTTCAGCTTAGATATCAGATGCAATGGAATATTTGGTGCCATTGCTGATCAGTGTTTTTTTTCCCTGTGTTCATAGATAAATTAAAGAAGCTAAAAATAATGGAAGTCAAACTTTTGTTTATAAAAACTCATTTCAAAGAACTGGGCAGTTTTTCCACCTACTTCTCAGCCATTTTATGTATTTTCTTCATTTTCCCGTAATTTGTCTTGCACTACTTGTATTGTACATTTATCGGTTGTCTTTTGTTGTTTTGATTTATAATATAATAATCATCTCATTGCTTTGCTTGTAGTTCATCTTTATGGATGATTGAATCTTTTCTATACTTCTTAACTGGTGGTTTTTGATAAATAAATTTGCATGAAACAACGACCAAATTGATCATTTACTGTTGGTAGGAATATCATCTCTATGTATGTAATAGTTTCAATATTGTTATATTTACATGAATACATTTGAATATATTTTAAGTAAAAGATTAAAATATGATCTTCGGAGTTTCATATAATCACATCGTTTTAGTTTGTATATAAGGGAATTGGGACTATATCAATAGATTTTGTAAATAAGTAGTATTCCATATGCAAATTACATGTACAATAATGACATTCTAAATCATATCATGCATTTTCATTTTCAAATATTCATTAAGTTGATTCTTTTATATTTATTTATTTTATTCATTTTGTGTCGCAATTATTTTAAACATAAATTAAAGTTTGTAGGCCTATTAATGAATAATTTGTCGAGAGAAAGACTTTATCTACCTTGAGAATTTGGTCTACTATGTTTAGATTCTTATTTTAATATACTACGATCTATTTGATGATTAGGATGTTCAGACTAACTTACGCACACTTTAATTAATTTTCAAGTCTTACAAGCTTAAGCATCTCACAAGCTTAATGAGTAAAGTAAGTCATAAATATGATAGATGATCACTTGGTGGGATTCGAACATAGAACTTTTGGGTAATCTAAAGTTATGTTATCTAACCACAAGAAAGTGGTTATATATTATATTAGGATTTATCCCTTTTGAATTTAATAAATGTTTACGTAATTTGTTAATTGAGATGATTTTTCTGTTTAAAATTCAGAATGCCCTTCATTTTGATATTTTCCAAGTAGTAACAAAATAATGATATAATAAAAAACATAAAAAAATTCTACCGTTGTTAAATTCCAGGGGGGTAGAATAGAATACTCAGTCATAATTTGTGTTACTAAAAAGTTTAAAGGATTAATGAGGATAGATAATATGTATTAAATTAATTTTGGTGTTCTAATAATTAATACATCTTATGACAGTAATTATTGTTAGTGATTACTTTAAAGGGGAACGACTTAGACATACTCAAGATTTTTCGTAATGACAAGTTGGTACTCAAAAGATTTGGAAAAGACAAATATATACTTTTCGTCCTATACTATTATAGATTTCCGTTTTATAATAGTGAAAAGATTGGAATGCCCTTTGAAATTTGATATCTTAGTTTTTTATTAATTTATCCCTAGCCAACTTATTCAATTACATAAATACCCACATCATTATGGTGAATTAAATTATGCTGTCATGTTATTATGAGTTAGTGAAATGACCATTTTGTCCTTATGAGTTTGTAAAAAATGAGACACAAGTGACCAATTTATACCGCTATCCCTGTTTTGGTAGAAGCGGTATAAATATACTCATTTGTGGTTGAAAATTGAAAATTTTCATAATTTAAAAGAAGCCATTCATACAAAAGAATTAAGCAGTTTAAAACAGAAACCATGAAAATTGAAAATTTTCATAATTTAAAAGAAAGCATTCATAATTAACATGAATTCAGTACATGATATTCAGTATCAATTAAGTTTTCATGGTTTAAATAGAAACCATGAATTCAGTACATGAAAATGTGATATACAACTGAAACTTCAAAACAAAATTGTCCTCTTTTCCATCCTGCAAATCCACGAATGCACACCTATAGCTGCAAAAACAGGCACAAAATTGTCAGAAGACACCTTTTGAGGGGCGGACCATTGTTAAGAACAATAATATTACTAATTATTCAAGGAAATTTCAACCAAGATTGCTCAATGCTTGATTTGTATACACATAGAAAAAGAAAAGGGAACGCAAGATGTATATTTGAATAAACTTAGATGTAGTTCTACTGATTTATAATGAATAATGAAGCACAAATTTTACATTTTTAGAAAAATTTTCCAAGTCGTCAATGAAAATGTGAAGACAGATTTACTCTATTGATTAGGTATACAATATGCTCATATGAAATATGAATTAAACCTAACAAAATAAAATCAAAAATCAAAGAAGAGCATGCATCAGGCCTGTGAGGGCTTTCATCATTTGACGAAACCAAGTAGTCATCCCCTATTTCCAAGATGGCTAATAGTTAGGTAAAGATAAAATCATGTTCCAGCATTCTACCACAGTTAAACCAGCGGCAGGGGTCTGAATAGAGAGACTAATCCTTCCTTAGTTCCATATATTCACGATGAAGACCTTCTTGATTTAGGACAACAATTTATGTTTTTTGAAAGAAACAGAAACTAAAAAAAAAATTCAGATGTGATACCCTTCTAATACTTAACCCTAAACAATGAAATAGTAGTAATCTTTTTAGACAAGAACCCATACAATAATAGCAATCAGCAACCAATAAATCAGAGCAATCAGCCAAGAAACCTAGAAAAATATAGCAACCAATAAATCACCAGCAAGCCAATACAAGGATAATAAAAAACAAAATGCAACCCAACGACACAGATAAAGAGCAGCAAAGCAAAACTAAGACAAAAAGAGATAAAAATAATGCTAGACTACGAATATCCTCCCCTATTTTCCACTATTCACTTTTCTGAATATCCTCCCCAATTCTCCCCGACTCCTTTTTATCCCATTCAAAATCTGTCCTTGAAATTAAATAGTTGTGGCTTCATCCTGCAATGCAAAATATATAAGACAGGCTATTCACACTCCCAATAATCAATTTAAGCAAACCAGCCCCACTGTTTGGCTGGATTTTATTCATTACACAATCAAGCATATAATCAACTCTTTTAAGAACAAATCCTAAACCAAACAAACAAACAAAAAACCTTAAAAACAACAAAACATGCAAAACCAAGAACATTCATTGCACATTGCTACATACAATGAGATTGGTACGTGGTGTTGTTAACCGGGTGGTCAACCCGTAAACTTATAAGCCTCTGCACATACAGAGTACTCTTTCCCGCCCATAGCAGTGCACACCTAGTTTTCCAACCGATATACCATACCTCATTAATAAAATGTAGTATCAAACATCACAAATGAAGGACATCACATAATCTAACTCTGTTAAAAAAAAAATCTTATTCTCATATGTAAGGAATTTTGCTGATGCTTGTTCTTTGGTTTAGACGATTAACAACAAAATCTGGAGTTTAGTAGAAGTATTATGTAATCTGAGTTAAAGTCTTCAAAAAGCATCAGCACTCAGCAGTCACCAAATCAATTAAAAAAACAAAAGAAATGCAGCTTTTTATTTGTATTTTTTTACCTGATTTGGAGGTGTTAACGTTACAGTTGGCACGGACTTTTTATAGATGGAAATGTTTTGTTTTGGATTTTCCAATAGAATTGACATGAGATAAGAATTATTGGGTTTTGATATATCCCATTAATGTGATATATTTCATGAATGGGTGGCATATATTGTCAATGGAGGTGACCCACTAGACGTAGCCATAGCTTCATTGAAATGAAAAATCTAGAAACATAATTGACAAATGGCAGGGGACCAACTAGTTTGGGCTTTAAATTTGATATTGGCAAGTGTTATGACGCTTTATATTTGACTTGGTAAAACAAAGGTTCTTATTAGCTGCGTAACATTAACATGGCAAAATGTAGTATCAAACTCAATGGCTTTTTGGTCGAAGCATCAATGACTCGGCAGAGAGAGAAACACTTGAGAAAAAAGCTCATGAGAAATACCTATTTCACGTTCTCTTCATGAACAAAAGATATAATGAATTAACTAAGGTGACCAGAGGAGGGAAAGGGATTTCCCCATTTTGCAAACTAAGGCATGATCCACTACAATATCACGCAACTCTTTCTCAACTTTCTCAACTTCACAGCAGCCATCTATTATCTGCAATCACAATAGCGATTAGCACTTTAACTGGTCGCCCATGAAAACAAAATAAATTTTAATTTTATGGGTTGTGATCTGACATCGGATTAAAATGGGTTTGATCGTATGTTTATAAAGATGGGCAAAAATTATCACCTATTGGTAGTCTTTCAGTATTTGTATTTGGTAAGCACCTAAACCAAACATATGATCAGGTGCATGGACGAGGGTGATCAGACACTTGTGCAGTTGTTTTTCTTTGTTTAACCAACACCAAGAAAAATGATAAAAGAAACCAGAAAATTTTGTTTGGAGCAACCAAAAGCCAATAGTTTGTGAAAGGCTCAAGTGATACCGTCGTCGACCTTAGTTAAGTCATCCTCCACCGTCGTCGTTACCCCACGATTCTCTCCCTTAGATGTCGTCTATCGTCTTCGTTTAGGATTCGTTGCTGTTCAGTGAACTTACTCTACCATTGTCGTTGGTTTTAACTCCTCCATTGTCGTCGGTTTCCGTCTCACTGGTCGTCAATGATGGTCTCCAAACAATGGCAATAGCTTCGTTCAAAAACTTCTTTCAGAGAGTTAGAGACAAATGAGAAGGAAACGAAGAGGCAATCACTTTTGGTTTATTTGATTTTTTGAGTCAACCTAATGGACACATGTCGATCTCTAAAGTGAAATATTTCAAAGGAAGTTTTGCTTCTTATATCAAGCTGATAATTTGAAATTTAAAAGTTTGATGGCGGTACAAAATTATTGTATTATCCTTTATGAAATGGAAATCACTAACAGTACCGGATGGAAAGTATTTGTTTGTTGTTTCTAAACCTTTTGGATAGCCATTTGTCGTTACAGCAAACCTTGGATACTTGTAAGTCGTTCGCCTTACTTTAAATGTCATAAGGCTGAGGTTTTGTTCCAATAATAAATGTATACAGATTGAAATATGAATCTTCTTTTTCATTTATGGAAGGATATCTTGTGAGTGGATATCGAATAT